GAGGCCCCACCTTACCCCTGGGGGTCATGTTTTGAACAAACATGAATCTACACTACCTGAGGATGATTCCATATCAATATGACTAATTGTGGCTTTGTTGTTCTTGAGAAGAAGATTTTTGAAAGAATTTTCCTATATATCCCTGTGTAAAACTTTGATCCCTCATTGTGGCCCCACCCCCGGGGGTCATGATTTGAACAAATTTGAATCTACACTACCTGAGGATGATTCCATATCAATATGACTAATTGTGGCTTTGTTGTTCTTGAGAAGAAGATTTTTGAAAGAATTTTCCTATATATCCCTATGCAAAACTTTGATCCCCCATTGTGGCCCCACCCCCGGGGGTCATGATTTGAACAAATTTGAATCTACACTACCTGAGGATGATTCCATATCAATATGACTAATTGTGGCTTTGTTGTTCTTGAGAAGAAGATTTTTAAAGAATTTTCCTATATATTCCTATGTAAAACTTTGATCCCCCATTGTGGCCCCACCCTACCCCAGGGGGTCATGATTTGAACAAACTTGAATCTACACTACCTGAGGATGACTCCATATCAATATGACTAATTGTGGCTTTGTTGTTCTTGAGAAGAAGATTTTTGAAAGAATTTTCCTATATATTCCTATGTAAAACTTTGATCCCTCATTGTGGCCCCACCCTACCCCCAGGGGTCATGATTTCAACAAACTTGAATCTACACTACCTGAGGATGATTTCATATCAATATGACTAATTGTGGCTTTGTTGTTCTTCACAGAGAAGAAGATTTTTGAAAGAATTTTCCTATATATTCCTATGTAAACTTTTGATCCCTCATTGTGGCCCCACCCTACCCCTGGGGGTCATGATTTGAACAAATTTGAATCTACACTATGTAATGAAGGTACCACATAAGTTTCAACTTTTCTGGCCCAATGGTTCTTGAGAAGATTTTTAAAAGATGACACCAAATTTTCACCAATTCTTAATTATCTCCCCTTGGAAGAGGGTGTGGCCCTTCATTTGAACAAACTTGAACCCCCTTCACCAAAGGATGCTTTGTGGCAAGTTTGGTTGAAATTGGGCAGTGGTTCTGGAGAAGAAGTCGAAAATGTCAAAAGTTTACAGATGGACAGACAGACGGACTACGGACAAAATGTGATCAGAAAGCTCACTTGAGCTTTCAGCTCAGGTGAGCTAAAAACCAGTCCTCTGTTCTTATCTGTTTTCAAGAGTTTCTCTACTCTGTGCATTTTACAGGTGTACAATGATGATTCTTTATCTGCCAGACTTTGTAATTAAGTTTCCAGGTTAACAATGTACTTTGTTGATTGCAACTGTTAAAAATTACAATTGTATGTTTAAATTTTAAAAAAAGAAAAAAAAAATTGAAAAAAGTTTTTAATCACAGACATAATCAAGTACATGTATTCATTTATTTAAAGACATGATTGTGTGATCACTTGTGCCATGAACTTGACTACAGCATTTAGTTCAACACAACTCTCTTATATCTCCAATTTATAATACTTTATGTATTTTACTTATTAAAACAATCAAATGCACCAAGAAATATAAATCAGTTCAAACGAGGATACATTCCTCTACTGTTTTTTTTTTTAGATGTATGCTTTACAATGCTGCCTTAAAGCGCTCTGTGACATTTTTCCAGTTGACAATATGCCATATGGCATCCACATAGTCTGGTCGCACATTCTTATATTGTAAATAGTAGGCATGTTCCCAAACATCAATTCCAAACAAAGGGACAAGACCTAAAACAATAAGACAGAAAATTTATAAATTATTATTTCAATATTGTTAATGCTTTGTAAAAACCAGCTTGTCTTGTGCTAGCAATTTAAGATTACCGTATATACTGGCCTATAAGTTGGTCCGCCTTTAAGTCGGTTGTATTTTTTGAGGTTATTTTGGAGGAATTTGCCATTGACCTACTTATAAGTCGGTGCAACTTTTTGCCAGAATCAGATGACAATTTCAAATGAATGCTCTAATGTTTTAACCTGGTTTCGATTACTATTTTTAGAAATGACGCCGATATTTAATTTTAAATCATTAAGAAAAATGCTAAATGCACACTTAGGATAAAAATAAAGTTATTAAAATATGTAAATACTTGAACTTTATGTATAATCTTAGAATACGTAAATGACATAATATATATCCAGACTTTGTTCAACGATAATCCTTGGAAATGTTTATAGAATACTACATTTCGCTGTCCAGAAAAATACTAATCTTTTTATGACTCGCCTATAAGTCGGACATAGAGTTTTGGACCAAAATTTAACTCCCAAAAAAACCGACTTATAGGCGAGTATCTACGGTACCTGAACTGATCACTACTCTGTTACTAGATATGTTGAACTAAAGTAATGAGAAATGTGAATTACTCCATTATTTTCCACCCAATGTTAGACTACAACATTTATCTTTGAATACCCAAAATGGAAAAAAAATGATTTTTTCAGAAATCTCTCAATGGCATGAAATTACAAACCCCATTCTTTATAAGCTTATTGCTAAAGAACCCATATTGTTTTCAAGAAAAATATCACTCTATTTAAAAGACAGAAATATAGTTTAAAATATGTACCAAAAATAAAATGATTCATTAGTTTTCATTTGTTCTCCCCCATTTTCTTCCTCTATCCCCCTCCCTCTCCCTCCAAAAATACCTTTACAGTTATATGTACATCAGCTCTGATTTATGTGGTTTGTAAAATTATTGTTCATTCAATGTTTGTACATATGTGTATGTATGCTTTTGATTTATGACTTTTGTCCTTGGAACCATATTGAAAGGGCTTACATAATTATATAAGGCAAGAGCCAGGGGGAAAAGTCATTGCACCCTTTATATAACAGAGACATAACAGGGGTTGAAATATACGGTAGCCCGACGCCCAGGGCTAGTCATTTTAAGACTCGGGCTAGTTAATTTAAATGTAATGATAGTCCATCAGACTAGCAGAACAGAAAAAAAATTCTCAATCGTCAGTTTACCATAGCTTTTCTATGTAGACTGGTTTCTTTTGACTGAGAACTAAGTTAATTTGTTCCTGTTACCAAAACGTTTGACACTTTCATTTGTTATGTTTTAATTTTGCATGAAAATTGTTGGGCTAGTTACATGTAGTTTTAGATTTGGGCTAGTAAATTTTTACTGATCAGTAGCCCCTGGGCTAGTGGGTTTTCCAGAAAAATTTCAACCCCTGCAAAATTATCCCCTGTCCATGTGCATGCAGTCTTACCAGTTGTGGCTTGCAGGGGGTCTTGATTGGCACATGTGACTATTCTTAGTGAGTGGGCAGGCTTATCATAACCTAGCCAGCCCCAGCCTGACCCCTGCACTCCAACAGAGGCAGCAGTCATTGACTTCTTCATGGCATCAAATGTACCAAACTCCTCAATGATCATGTCTTTGAGAGCGCCTTCAGGTTCCCCTCCCCCTGTAGGTGAGAGTGTCTCCCAAAAAATACTGTGATTCAGGTGGCCCCCTCCATTAAACCTAATGGCTGCCTGCAACTGAATGACTGTGTTTACATCCCCTGAAAGTATGACGATATTTATTTTAATTACTTCCCTTGACACATTTTATATTAATTTTCCAAATTTATTAATTTAATTTACAAATTTGCAAATTTCCATTTCAGCCTTAGGATTGTTTGACTCTGGTTGGCTTGGAAATATGAATTATCATATGACATCTGTCATAGTTGTAATTCAGTAAGGCAATTAGTGATTTACTGATTTAAGTAGGGTATGTTAATCTACACAGACATTTGGCATAGCATTTGTATCAAAGAGGACCTCCAGTATGCAGTGTCTTTATCAGTTGAATTTTGAAATTTTTTTCTCCTTTTTTACCTTTATGCATAGCTTCTGCAAGTTTTTCCTCTGCTACATTGAGATTGTTGACATAAGTCTGGTGATGTTTTGTGTGATGAAGTTTCATAATGTCAGCCGAGATAAATGGTTCCAGTGCATTGTAATCATAAGGAAGGTCGGGCAGTGTGTGTCTCATCCTCATAGCCATTGCTCCTAGAGCACTTGCTGACTTTGTAAGGGCACTGAGAAAAGAAAAACTCATAGAATTAACATTTAATTTAGTCAGTTAATAGATTTCAGAGCAGTCAGTGAAGAAATGTCTCTTGTTCTTAGTGAAGAGTATTTCATATTATTCATTGTTTTAGTCTATTATTATTTTTTTTATTGAAACCTTTCATTTAAAACTATCAGATACTGTAGTAGAAAAAACATCCTAGCTTGTTCAGGACAAACTCTTATTGATTCTGAGTCTGTAATCCTTAGATTTAATTTTATGAAGATTACACTTATTATGCATTGTCTACAAATACCAATGTAATAACACACACAAGTTCTAATCATGACATTACCATTTTGCCACAGAAAACTTTGAAGACAACATGTTTCTGCGACTCTCTGCAAAACTTCTAGGTCGATTGTATATGACCTTGACCTTAAATTCTCGATGAAAAAATCAAATAGTTAAATGGACTGAAAATGATTAAAATTTGATTATGTTAAGAATATATTTATACAAATAAGTAAAAATGATAGCAAGAAACCACTCGATTTTTCATTGCATAGTTATAATATAATTTTAGATTTTTCTCCCATTTAGAATGAATATCCCAGAATTCCGTAGTAATTACATATGGCTGCCTCCTGCTTAAAAGCGACTGATCATTGCCAAAATTGATTTGTTGATTTTATAGGGAAGGGTAAGTAAGAAAGCATCTAAATGATTACAGTACTAAACATAAGGTGTTAAAATTGCTAAATAATTGCAAGTTAGGTTGTTATGAGATTAAATTATGCATAATTTCGTGAAAACAAAAGGCGTGGCTTAGACGCCATTTTAGTCGTATTGTTGTAGGTGCGCGCCGCAAGGAAGATACGAGTGGCAAGACACCGAATGTTTGACAGCACACATATTGTTTTAGAATGATTGCAGTTGACTAATTTTGGCGGTGTCACTATGTTTGCAAAAAATAATGAAATCTTGTAATGCATTTTTTTCTCATAATTGTCATAACGAAAATGAAACTAACTTATCAGTACAATTTCTGGAAATGTGGTTTATACTTCCTGGGTGAAATATTTTGCAGACATAAAAAGTTTTAACTCACCACAAACGTGATTTTCATCGTATGTTTTTCCTTAATGTGAGATGACATTGTTGGTTATAATTATCCAAAGTTAAATATTTCTTGTTGTTTATCATTTTAGATCTTTCACCATGGAGTCTCCGTCCTCTCCTAAAAGGGTAAGATTATTAAATTTATAACAAGATATTGATTTTGTAAGTTTTTCTTTACATACCTGGTAAGCAAATTGAATCTGTTTAATATAGTGTATTAATATATTTAGATAGTTATTTTCTCATTTATTTCATCACACAGGCGAGAACTGATACTGATTTGAGCGAGTTATCTAAAGAAGATTTAATAAATAGGTGAGGAACTCTCAATCTATCTCTCCTTCTCATTCTTTTTCTTGAAGGATTATATTCAAACATTTATTTATTTTTTCCATTTATTTTTAACATGAATAGTAAATGAATTTCATTCATTCTAAACAGAATTAAAGATCAAGAAAAAACCATACGTCAATTGGAGGAAAAACAGAGAAATATGAAAACAGGTAATGCATGATAATTGTTAACTGAGAACAAATAAGCATAATGTACAGAAATCGTTTGACCTGGAAATTATTAACTAATAACAGATACACAACACTGATTTAAAAAGGATTTGGAAAGCTAAGCTCTTTAAAAAATTAATCTAAATAGTCTTTATCAATAGATTTAATAATATTTCAGATGATAAAGATTTGAAAGAAGTAGAGTCAAAGTTAAAACAGCATCAAAGAGATGCTGCACGCAGAGAAAATACACTTGTTCATCGATTGACCACAAAAGAACAAGAGTTACAGGATTACATTGTAAGTCTCCAAAATGTTAAGGATGATCTTAGAACAGAAAATCAGGTTATATTGTGTGAAATTCTGGCTTGCAAAAAATTATTTTTCAGCCAATAGGTTTTCCATCGAAATCGGTTTATTCAAGTTTTACTGTGTTATGGAACAAAAATGAAAATGATTATATTAAGATATAAGGTGAAAATGATCATTAAGAAATGCATTTTACGCAAGCAAACATTCCCATATGATATTTAATAGGAATTTCCATTCTCTTACAGAATCAAATTCAAGAATTTAAACAGTCACAGACACAGAACAAAGCCCAGCTTCAGACAATGCTTCTGGACCCTGCAGTCAACTTAGTATTTCAAAGGATGACAAAGGAAATGGAAGAATGCCAAGAGAAACTCAAACAAACGCAAAACGAACTCAGTGCATGGAAGTTCACACCCGACAGGTGCTTATTTCGTTCATTGGTAACAAATGTCCAAAGCAATCCCGCAGTCACTTAAGGCTTGAACACTTTACGCGACTCAGTATTTTTCCATCCCGGCAAAAATATCTCCCTTCTGGATGTCGACCATTTTGACATTCACCAAAGTCTGATGTCAGTAAGAACTTTGACATTCAGGCGAAGTTGTTTTTCATATTCTTTGCTGATTTATTTTGGGCCAAGGAGAATCGAGTAAGAACATGGTTTTTAAGGTTCCTGGCTTCCTTAACTGGTCAGAAAAGAAAGTTGGGGTGACTTGGAAACATTCTTAGGTTACCCTGCTTTATTTCTTACACCTACTGCCCCTTACATTCTGCATTGTGATGAGACAATGTGTGTAGACTTGTAACACTTTAACAGTAGAATTCCACTTCATGGTGGGAGCCAAAAAAAGTGTTGATCAAGTCGCATCGTTGGGAGTTTGTCCATATGAACTCGGACACAGATCGGGTTGATTTATGAATTGTGTGTGAGCTTTTTTTCTGCCATGACTACCCAAACTGTCACCGTTGTTGTACATTACATTTATTTCAGGTTTTCTCAGATTTTTGCTTTAACATTATTATTTAAGACAGACAGATACTAATGTGAAAATATATCCAGAAACTGTAAGTACAGAATGCTGGCTCAGAAGATTGACACTGTGAACTTTGACCTTATAGACAGAAGTTGAGTCAGTGTATTTCAGGTAATTACGTATTTGTGAATAAATACATGCTTACTGCAGCTTTGTGTTTCAGGATAAAAAGTTCTTTTGTTGCAGCATATTAAGAAGACAAGGGAACACATTTCAGGGTGTTTTGTCAACTCTTAAAACAAGATTCTGCTTTATATGATGATTAGAATTAACAATGCGTTGTTTTTTGTTTTTTTTTTTGGAATTTTATTTTGCATCAATTTCAATTCACCACAATAGCTTGAATGATATTCACTGATCTGCTGAATGCACAGGTATTCAGTCATCTCAAGTCTGAAACTAGTTATTTTTATGAATTATGAGTATGTGTAATATGCTTCGCACATGTAAGCAATACCTACTACCTGATTGCTTTTTCACAGATTTTTTTTCCTTAGTTACTGCATAAAGAATATTTAAAATGTTACAAGGATATAGTGGACTCTTGTTGACAAAATAAGTTAAATTGTGTGGAAAGCCAAAGCACAAAAAGTGCAACATTGGTCAAAATACGTGTATAGTTCCTGATTTATCATTCTGCTCAAAAGTCAATATTGTAAGCTTTGAGATATTTAATTTTATGAGGTTCTTGACTTTTTGCCAAGGTTTATGTCAAAGGCAGAATTGGAATTTGCCCTTGTCAGCAACATTGCTTCACAGACATGTTCAGTTGAAGTTGCTTTTAAGAAGATTATATATATATATTATAGAAGGAGTAAGGAATTTTTATTCTGGTTTCCTGAGATCAGCCTCCAAAAACTCGGAGATCAGATGCTATACTATAGCATAATAAACTACTGTAGATGTATTTTTTCTGCATGGGATTAATTTTCGCCATGTAAGCTGTAAAAAATGTAAAATATTTTCTGTGAAAATTAGTCACCTCTTACTTGAATTGCCTGCAAGATATAAAATGGCAATGAAAGAAATCCACAGAATTTTCAACCCATGGATTTAACAGAAATGGTGATTCCATGGAATACCTCTTAAAATTGTTTCCTAAAGAAATCTTTACTAAAATAGTCTACCATTTCCAGTGATTTTACTGAGCTGTCCAAAATAATGTTGGACTGGTCAGTGAGATGTTGGTATTTTATGTCGCACTTAATATTACATTCCTTAATCATCTGAACTGAGTCGGTAAATCAGTAAGCTATATTTAATTTGCCTTCTTAGATGTGTAATAGCTATTGAATTGACAGGGTTAAAAATCTGCTCAAGATAAATGAAATTTACATCAAAATTCTGTAACATGGAAGCCAGTGAGAATTTTTACAGGAAGCAAATATCAAAGGTATACCAAAACATTTATTGACTGAATCCTAAGGCAGAATGCATTTTGCTGAATCCTTGAACCAATTTGCCTTCAGCCTAACAGCTTCTGGCAACAGTATGGTTCCCTGGACTTACAAAATGCATGTTGCCCTCAAACCCAGTCAAAAAAATATATACTAAATTATGTATATCTAAAAAAAAATGTTATGCAGAACATTTACTTGTGAAGTGAATAATTTTTTTAGCTTCGTATTGAATGCTTTATTTTTTTTTAATTTGTTTTTAAAATACTTTTTGAAAATGTTTTTGAACAGATGGTGTATGTTGTAGAGTCCGAATTTTAATAATTCAGGTTTTTATTGTGAAAATGTAATTAATATGCTGATTTAAATGTGTAACATGGTTGTGTAATTTAACGTTTCGTACCTTAAGTTTTAATTAACTGACGAGCGCATTTTGACATTTCCCTTTTTTGAACTTAGTTAAAAGAGAGAGAGAGAAAGAGAAAATATGATTATTTTTCATGTACTCTAATATTCCAGGGAACAGGCAAGGGGAAATAATTTTTGTACTCTTTAGTTTGATATGATTTGCAATGACTAAAAAAGAAAAAGAAGAGTTTTTTTTCAGCAGTTGTTGGACATTTGTTGTACTTGTATCATTAGTTTCATTGCAGATGACATGAATTATTTACAGTTGAAGCTGTGGTGTGCTGCATTGTCAAATTGGTTATTATCCAACATGTCCTAGTACTGAAATAATAATTATTCATCCCAAATCGTTTTCTATTGCATTGAGTAAAAAAGTCAAGTCTACTTTTTTTTTTTACTTTTGAACTTTTGAGTCATGATTTTTGAGACCAAATAAATGCATATGATATTGATCAAATTATAAAGAGTCCAGTAGATTGACAAAAATTATTTATTAGTTTAGATTGAAAATAACAATGATAGGACATAGTGGATTATTGAACATAATAAGCTGATGCAACCAGTATTATCAGGTGGCACTATATCACAGCTAAAACAGAGAGAATTGTTAAATTCTTTTCTGCAGCAAAGATGAAATAATTCATGTTCTCTGTTAAAATCTGAGGGTGTTGAGCCATCTAGCAGCAGTAACAGAGATGAAGCAGATGATGACAAGGGAATCAACCACCACAAAGAAAATCCTAAATGCCTTATGAATTCAAAATTTATATCATGCATTTACTAAATATCCAGCTACATGTAATACTCTTCTTAAACACAAACACACGCATAGCACTGCAACATGCTTTTGGCACCTTCAAGATTCATAATAAACCTTGAAAAAAAAGAAAAACAAATTGGCAAATTTGAACCCTTTCATTTTTTTATTTATTTATGTTTTTTTTTGTTTTTTGTTTTTTTTTTTTTGTTTTTTTTTGTTTTTTTTTTTTTTTTACATTTCTTAATTGGATGCTATATATATATATATATATATATATATATATATATATATATATATATATATATATATATATATATATATATATATATATATATAAAGGAAGAGAATGGAGGATATTAAATGTGCAGAAAAACCAGCACTGATTAATAGTTTTCTCAACATAATTCTTGTATGCAGTCAGTTTGAGTTTCTTGTTAATTGAAATTACTGGCACTTTACCATCCATTAATATTTTTAGAGCATTTACATTGTACTTGCTACAGAATGCACTTTCACTCAGAGAGGTTCTTAGAAAATTAATTCAGAAATTGACAAGTACCTATGTTCATGCACTTAACTGAAATGGATAAAAGATGAATGGAAAAAATAATCATGTAATGTGCTATAATTTAAAAGTAATTCCAGCATTAAGTTGTAACATTCTTGCATGATTTTGATTTCAGGGAGCAGAGAAAGACATGCTTTTGAAATATTTTATATAATTGGAAACCTTGATGAATTACTATAAATGGTGATGGTTGGTTATGTCATGGCAGAATTTGCTCAAGTAGTTAGAGGTGAAAAATTCAAAAGGTTTTCTTTGCTTTTGTGTTGCAGCCAAACAGGGAAACGGTTGATGGCCAAATGTCGGATGTTACTTCAGGAGAATGAAGAACTGGGAAAGGTGATCACTTCGGGAAGGACAGCTAAATTAGAAGGAGAAATCGCAGTACAGAAGCAACTTGTACAGGAAATGAAGGGCAATCAATCAGGTAATCAGGGAGTCTCCTTTTTAGCTCACCTGAGCTGAAAGCTCAAGTGAGCTTTTCTGATCACATTTTGTCCGGCGTCCGTCTGTCTGTAAACTTTTCACATTTTCGACTTCTTCTCAAGAACTACTGGGCCAATTTCAACCAAACTTGCCACAAAGTATTCTTGGGTAAAGGGGATTCAAGTTTGTTCAAATGAAGGGCCACGCCCTCTTTCAAGGGGAGATAATTAGGAATTACTGAAAAAATAATGGCATCATTTAAAAATCTTCTTCTCAAGAACCATAGGGCCAGGAAAGATGAAACTCATGTGGAAGCATCCTTAGGTAGTGTAGATTCAAGTTTGTTCAAATCATTACCCCCGGGGGTAGGGCGGGGCTGCAATGGAGGATCAAAGTTTTACATAGAAATATATAGGAAAAATCTTTAAAAATCTTCTTCTCAAGAACAGCAAAGCCATGATGAGTCATATTTATATGGAAGCATCCTGAGGTAGTGTAGATTCAAGTGTGTTCAAATCATGACCCCCGGGGGTAGGGTGGGGCCGCAATGGAGGATCAAAGTTTTACATAGAAATATATAGGAAAAATCTTTAAAAATCTTCTTCTCAAGAACAGCAAAGCCATGATGAGTCATATTTATATGGAAGCATCCTGAGGTAGTGTAGATTCAAGTGTGTTCAAATCATGACCCCCGGGGGTAGGGTGGGGCCACAATGGAGGATCAAAGTTTTACATAGAAATATATAGGAAAAAATCTGAAGAAGAAGAACAGAAAAGCTATGTTTAGTCATATTGATATGGAAGCATCCTCAGATAGTGTAGATTCAATTTTGTTCAAATGATGACCCCCAGGTAGAATGGGGCCCAATGGGGGATGGAAAGTTTTACATAAGAACATATAGAAAAAATATTTCTTCTCGAGAACAGAAAAGCTATGTTTAGTCATATTGATATGGAAGCATCCTCAGGTAGTGTAGATTCAAGTTTGTTCAAATGATGACCCCTGGGATAGGGAGGAGCCACAATGAGGGATCAAATTTTTACAAAGGAATATATGGGAATTTTTTTTTAAAAATCTTCTCAAGTACAACAAAGCCATTTGTTATATTGACATGGAAGCATCATCAGGTAGTTTAAAATTCAAGTCCCCCCCCCCCCCGGTCTTTTCAATACTGAACTGATTGTGCTTTTGCCTAGCCAATGTGCTCAGGTGACTGTGTGGCCCATGGGCCTCTTGTTTAAATTTTTTTTTGGTTAATTCATTTTGAATAGAAGGAATGCGTCATTTTTTAAGGATAAGACCAATGAAAAAAAAAGCCGATTTGGTATGATGAATTGTATACTGTGTATGAAAGAGTACAAGACATTCCATGAAATATGATTTATATGTTATGAACAAAGATACATCTCGCTTAAAGTGTTGGACATATCCTAATTCTACAAAAAAGTAAATGTGCTATTGAGGTTTTTATGCGCCCGGATCGATAGATCGGGGGCGCATATTGTTTTTGTCCTGTCTGTCTGTTGTCAACTTTAACCTTCGCCATAACTTTTGAACCATAGGAGATAGAGACTTCATATTTGGTATGCATACTCCACTAATTAAGTTCTTTCAAATGACACCAAGGTCAATGACCTTGTGACCTTGACTGTGACCTATATGCTAAAAATAGCTTTTTCGAACTTTGTTGCCGCAGGGTGCATAGTGTTTCACAAACACATCTTGTTTTTTTTAAGCATGTATGGTTTACTGCAGAAAGAAGTAATTTTGTTTTGTGTGTTTACAGAGTTGGATGAGTTTCTAGGAGATTTAGAAGAAGATGTAGAGGGCATGCAAAGCATGATCTATGCATTACAGCAGCAACTCAAAGAGACTAAAGAGCAGGTCAGCAAGTTAGAGGAAGAAAACTGCAAACTGAAATCCTCCGTACAGACAGGTGCTGTGTCACAGACCTCTAATAGTGCTATTCCAAGCAGTCCCACTATAGACCTTAAGGAAATAAAACAAGAAATGGACACGGACCCTATAAAACAGGAGATCAAGTGTGAAAGGACAACAGAATTTGAGGAAACCTCAGAACGAACCCTACATAGATGGTCAAGTCAGGAAGAAATGATGGACACAGACCAGGATTCTAGGGATGTGCCAGAAGTTAACCACATATCTCACAGACTTCAACCTGGGGAAGGTGTTAAGTGTTCAGACTACGAGAGCTCGCAAGATGGCTGGTCCAGTCCCTACCCTCAAACCAAAGACGAAATTAATGGATCAAACAAACACGCCTCCCAATCAGACAGTACACCAGAAATGGACCACCTTAGTGACAAAGGGTACTCTGGGACAGGGGATCTATTACCCAATGGGGTGAACAGGACTCCATTAAAGGAGGAAATGGGAGAAGCATAATAACAACCAAGTCACAAGCTCAGATAGTCATTTTATCATCCTAGTTATATTTCTTTAAAACAGATTTTGATTGGCTATGAAAATGAAATATTAATTTCATTTACCAATCAAAGATGCATTGCTGTAGAAGAAAAAAAAATCATTGTCCATTCATAGTATTTGTTACTTGTGTTTAAGTGTTGATTTTATTAATGTTTTACTTTCTCCTAGAAAACAGGAACAAAGTATAGTGATGTTGTAAGACAACTACCATTTTCCAGAGAGATTGTGAAAAGATTTAGATAAATATTGAGAGGGAAAAGTTTTATTTCAAATACAAATATTAATGTAATTCTTATGACTGCAAACAGTGTTTAAATTCCTATATTCAATTTGTTTTCCTGTCTCCTGTTCCGAGGTAAAATTGATGATATGTGAAAGTGCTTTTTCACATTCCAAGAATTTGAAAATTTTGTGCATGTATTTTTTTTAATTGGAGGAAAGGTAGAATTATACCCTATTTTAAATAGTGTTTTTTTGGTTGCATTGATTTTCAAAGGATCAGATTTGATTAGCTTATGTTTTCAGTGGGCAAACAAAGCTAGATAATCTTTAAGTATTCATAGAGATCTAAATTCAAAGAATGGTTAAGTTAAACGTATTTTAATTTTTGTTGGAAATATAGAAATTTTTTTTTTCATTGGCTTTAATATAATTCAAATTCAGTCTATATATTTTGAATTTAAATGAAGACATTTGAAACCACCATAGGTTGAAAAACTATTTTTTTTATGGTAGTCTGTTTAAGAACAGAAAGGTGATACAATATGTTTGATCTCTTGTTGTCATGGTAATTTGTGAATTCCTATTAAAATGAACTTAACAAAATGCAGGAGTATTTTTCACATTTTATGTTGGGATTTGAAGGCGTATTCCGCTGTATGTACATCATATTTATTTATTTCATAGGCCAATATTTATGAAACTGGAATAGATTTAAAGGTTTTAAGCAGGAACAAAGACTATGTTAACTCAAGTAAAGATTACATTATGTAATCTGAAGTGTAGTGCAAATGCTCACCAAACTTGAATCTACTGACATCTTTGAAAGGGGAGATAACTTATCCAGAGAATTTGTGCATGGATTCTTCAGATACCTTGGTACACACATTAAAGTCAAGTATAAACTTGTCACCAAATTAACAGCCGAATAATGTGTTTTCTACTGTTTGTGCAGCTTGCATATTTTAGGGTGATCATAGAGAGATGCAATCTTGTAAAGTCTACTTTACAGGCGTATTAAGTCTATACTTTACAGGCGTATTAAGTCTATACTTTACAGGCGTATTAAGTCTATACTTTACAGCCACTCCTTTTTCTTTAAAACTTAACAGAGACATAGTCACCACGCTAACTTAATAGAGACAGTTACCAGGCTTAGTCGTGTGTTTCATAAGAACATGAGGATTCCTGTCATTGGCATTGTTGATAAACTTCTAACATTTTCAGCTTTTTAGAAATTACTTGAATTACAGCCTCTTTCTGTCTGTTATGTGTTGTTTGTAAAACTTTTCACATTTTGAACATCTTCGGAATCATTGGGCCAGTTTTAACCAAATCATCTTTGAGAGAAGGGGATTCAGATTTGTTCAGATAGAGGGGAGGTAATTAAGAAATTGTGAAAAATTAGATGGCATCTTTAGAAATCTTATAGAGAAAATCCACTGAGCCAGGAAAGACAAAGCTAAAATTGAAAGCTTCCTTAATGAGTGTACGTGTAGATTTAAATTTTTGCAAATCATTGGGAGGGGGAGGGGTGTTAGACTGGGGCCATGGTAGGCTATCAGAAGTTTCTTATAGGAATACTATATATGGAAAATTTCTGGAACAGTATGGCATGGTCCCCTGAGGGAAAGAGAAGAAGACGACAGCCAAAGAACACCTGGCAACGCTCTGTTGAGAGTGAAAGAGAGGAACTGGGATGGAGCAGCTTGAAGAAGGGGCATTTTGTTGCCAGCACCTGTCGTAAGTGGTGTTCTTTGTTGAACAGCCTCGTGCGTCCTCCGGGGCACGGAGAGGTTAAGTAAGTATGGCATGATATGAAAGCATCGCCAGGTTAGACTAAGTACGAAATCAAGTTTGTTTAAATCGTATCCCCCAGGGTTGAGTAAGGGCACAGTAGGGGATCAGTTTTACATGAGGAAACAAGAGGCCGCTGGGCTACAAGATCACCTGAGTAACCTTCAGAAGAAGATTATTGAAAGATTTTTCTTCCTCTTCTATTGGAAAATATCGTATCATGGCTCCACATCAGCTCCAAGGGATCATGACTTAACCACTTTTGAATCGACACAAATAGGGATGTTTCAATTGTTTTTGATGAGAATTTATCAGAATAATTTAATAAATACTGAAACAATACCACCCATCGTCAATGATTTTCAAACATACTCCTTGTGTCTGACATAGAATTTAATTCTTTGCAAAGTAAGTTCCATGGGCATTATTATATTGACATTCAAGCAATTAAAATATGCACTGATCAATCAAAGTTGGTATTTTGGGGAAAAGGGGGGGGGGGGTAGAGATAGAGGATGTAATGACGAGGTTTACAGACATATATTTAGAAACACTTGTGATGTAATAAATTTTGCACTGACTTTGGTGTCTGTGGATACAGAAGTACATAAAACACTCAACTATCAGACAATCTGAAAGATATCCAGAACAGCAAGGCCATGTTAATCATATTGAAACATCCCAATGTTGTTTGGATTCAAGTTTTATTAAACCTTTAGGACGAGACCACAAAAAAAGGGTCAGCATATTTCATGGGAATATGGGGGGGGGGGGGGGGGGGAATCTGAAGAACAGCAGAGGAGATGCAAAGCAGGTGAGTGTTGTTGCCTATGGACATCTTGTTTGTTTTTGATGCTGTTGAAGCATAACACCATAAGTAAGGGAAGATTAGGTTCATGGCAAAATACTTCTGCCAAACAATCACTTCTTGGTAAAATTATGCTGGTGTAATTAGTATACCTTCAATATTATAATAAAACAGGAGGCTCATGGGCTATAACGCTCACATGAATCGCCGAGGGTCCAGAAGATGTTTACAAGACTTCTATCCCTCTTTATTCCCCCCTCCTCCCAATATTTACTATATTGTGGTCCCACACTAGCCGAAAGGGGTTATATATAAATCCACGCTTGATGGGGATGCTTCATTATCAATATGGTTTACATGGCCTAGAAAAGAATCGAGTTTTTTTTTACACTCAAGTACGGTACTTTTACTTTTACCCCCATGCAGTTTTACTCCAAACCATATTCATATAAATTTGAAGGAAAAAAATTGAGTATGCACTACAAGGGTATGCTTGCATATTTATCTTGAGAAGCTTTATTTTCCAATGTAAGCAAAAAATCCGTTGTCATTCCTGCCTGCCCTTGTACAAATGTGTACACACATGCATTTCACTTATATAGGGATGACAACGAATATTCGAACATTCGAATATTCATACGATGAGTTAATATTCGAATGTGAATTTATGATTCGAATATTCGGTGTTTTTCATATTTCACAAAAAAGAGATAATAAATTGACTGCCGTCACGAGAAAAGGGCCCTTAAGGTCAAAATTTCACAAATTGACTTTTTGGTAAATTTTGATAGCCCGACTCTTTCTGAGTTCAAATATACATAACTTTTAAAAATATCTCATTTTTTCACTATTTTATGATCATTTTAGTAAGGCGCTTCAAATCAACATTGACATTATTCATTGAATACTTAATGACGTCACGTCGTTATTCAAATAACCTTAAAAATACATATAAACTTTAGACAGTATATGATTTCTTCTTCCAAGCAACTACATGTGGATTGTCAATATTAAACAGTTGTTTTAAGTTTGTTATTACATGTGTAGAATTCTAGAAGCATATTCAGTAATTTCGAAAGGGGGGGGGGGGTGCATGTCTAGACAGGATCTAGAAATGGATAATATTCATTCGAAAATATAATACATGTACATGTACTGTACTGTGCAATTATTTCACTTTATGCACGTGTTTTTATATTTGATATTCTAGCGCAATTAAAAGAATGTATTAAGCACTTGTACATAAAAAAAAAAAAAATAAAAAAAAATAAAAAAAAAAAAATCTACATACCGGTAGGTATCGCGGAGAAAGGGGATATCCAACCCAAATAAAACCTCATGTATTCTCTGTATCATCGACGAAATTTAATTTGAACAAATATTCACACACACGTTATGTTGTGTAAAGTTGTTTCAAATAAGTTTAATCCGTAGTGCATAGAAAATCATATATTGAAAAAAAAAGTTCTATTTCCAAGATCATTTTCTTTGTGAAAAAAAAATTAAGCATGTTTACAATGCGTAATAATACAAATTTCATTTCTGGGCCTGCCTTAGTTATGGAGTAGAAAAAAGGTAAAAGAGGCACATAATCAAGTCTTAGGATTAGCATTGCCTTATAAAAGTTTATCCCGTATATGAAAATTGATACTTTTTGTCTACTTATTTCTTTTTACGAGTAAATCACAATTTATTAAAAGCAATTATAAATGATTCTGTCGTTTAATTTTTTTCTTAAATCTTTATTCACCCCCATTTTGTTATCTTTAATTGTTAAAATATAGTTTCAAACATTTCCCCCTTCTCAACGCTACTAATAAACACTCGCAAACTCCAAATGGTACCTCGTTTCTTAAGAGTCGCTGATGTAATTTTAAAAAGAAAACATTAAGGAGATTGGTGTCTGTAATAAATGGTTCCTAATGTCGGAATAATTTAGTAAGGTGCGATCATATTGCAAAATATTAATTCTCACCTCGCGGACATGTATAGAACATCAACCCATGTTTGAGCTAACAAAAACCGAAAAGTTCGTGTTTGTATTTAAATCCTTCTTTCTTAGTCATTTATTAACAAAAAATTTACCTTACATATTCCACGGCCATCATAGTTGAAGAAGTAGTAAAAGAATTTATTATATCTCATTATACCTGTTCTATACCACCCCTTTCTGATTGGTTCCAACAGTTACGTGACTGAGTCTCATGATTCCCTTTCGTCGTTATGCTGTTCGTCATACATGTATTCAACCACTTCTAAAACATCGTGCATTTTTTTTCCGCAATGCATTTTCAACGGTTGTAAAACGAAAAAGTCCAAGAGCAGCAAAAGTGACAATAAAAGAATGGGTACATCTACCAAAGATTTAAGTTTCAAAGCGCATTAATTACTGATCATGTTTTGGTTCAGTAGTTTCATCGGAAATTGTCCGTTGCTTTTGACTGAAAGTATCCGTTTCAACGAAAAGGGTCCGTTATGCCTATAAACCGTGTCTACCAAACAGTGACGAAAATAGCGATCTTCTTTCCAATGAGGATGCTTAGAAAAAAAAGAAAAAAAGATAGGGAAGACAATCTACTTTTTAAAAATGAATGTTCATTTGAAAGTTGTGCCGAAATTTAAAGCTTTTGTTTATTTTTAAAACCTAGTTGTTTTTTTTTTTTTTTTTTTTTTTTTTTGGTATAACAAACAATTCATTGCATGATCATGAGGGAAATAAGAACATTATTTCGGCATTAATGCAATAAAATTCATATCCCCTTCGGGCGAAGACCTCTGGGAATATGATTTAATCCTCATATTTGCCAGAAGATCATGCAATTATAATGCATGTAAGGAAATTATAATTTGTAATATTTTGAGCGGGCAGTTTAAAAAGACCGAGACATAAATCAAGAAACAGTGCACTTTTCTGTGCATAATTAATATACTCTTTATTTCATTGGGGGACTCTGTAACTCTCCGGTTGTCCATTCCAATTTCCTCATGCAGAACAACGAGCTA